ACGTATGCAAGTCCTTCATTACCAAGCCAATTAACGGAAATACCAAGATTGGTCAATTGTTTCAATTCACTTAAATATTTTGCTCCTTCAACACCAACACTATTTTCAGCAATAAATAGAGTGGTCAATTGGTTCAATTCACTTATATATTTAGATCCTTTAGCACCAATATGATTGCCATAAATATTAAGAGTGGTTAATTGTTTCAATTCACTTAGGTATTTAGCTCCAATATGAAAAATATTATGACTACGAATATCAAGATTGGTCAATTGTTTCAATTCGCTAATATATCTAACTCCCTCACCACGAATTTGACTGCCATATATATGAAGACTTTTTAATTGTTTCAATTCACTTAGATGATGAACTTCTTCTTCTTCAATTCTAATAACAAGTTTAGTTAGTGATTTCATCAAGATTAATTTTTTAAAAGTATCCTCACTCGTTGCATTAACTTTAAGAGTTGCAATATTCTGTAAAAATTGGCCACTCATTTCGACACCAAATTTACAATTCGAATCAAGATTATTACATGTTGATAAAATAACATTGTACCACTGTTTGGATACCAATGCACAATGCAAGACAATAAAATTAAAATCTTCAAAGAAGGAAATAATTTCATATATAATGTCATTGTGAAATTTATAGTCTTGTGCTACGTTCATCATCAACAAGTCCTTTGAAAGTTGTGATTTACATGTTGTGAGTTTTTCCATTTTTTTTAATGATAAAGTGATCAACAAATTTATTTTCAGGTCAACTCGACATTCGAGTATGATGAAAGGTAAATGAAAACATCATGGGAAAAGTTCTAGTTAAATTATCATTAACACGAACAAGGGACATTAGATATTTGAAAACAATTGGTATCTATTTATTGGAAGAGTTTACTAAGGCTCTCCTTGAGAAGCTTGTTAGTTTTCTCCACTTTTTATCATAGCCACCACATACGACCATCAAGTGCTCGCTCCAACTTCCAAATTCGTACACACTTTCTTCATCAGTGGATGGTAGGCAACTTCTTGGATATTGAACTACATCCATGCATAGAATTCTATCTCCCACAGAGGATTGAGAAATTGGTTTGAAAGATATTGGATCCCAAAATCTAACAACTCCATCAAAACCACTGGAAATTATTGATCTACCGCATGATGGCTCATACATGATAGTATTCATCAGTTTACCACTTGCTGGTATAGAGTAAACTGGATCTTGTTTAAATTGTTCAGGATTGGAATCTGTTTGTTTGGCAGCAATAGTTTGACTAATATTTCTTAAATCCCAAACGTTAATCAAACCATCCACACCACCAGTAACCAAATTAATACCATTGTATGGATTGAATGAGCAATTGAGTACCTCCTTGACATGGTGAACAAGGTTGGCCACCAACAAGCCAGTTCTTAAATCCCATAATTTGACAATACCATTCATATCAGTTGTACACAATAATCCTCCATCAGGATA